GGTGGCGGCTCGGTCGGCGTTCCGTCTCCCCCGGATCTCCCTCGCCCTGTGGCAATCGACGAGGTTCGCTGGGAACATGCACATCAGTCTCACACAGTCTATCTACCGCGTTGCACGCGGTCCCGACCCGGTCGCCAATTCACCTCAAGTTCCATTCGAAGTCCGTCTCTTTACTTTGCTTCCGATCGTGAGATACCGGAGAAAGCCTTAGATAACAGTAGGAGATTCGATTATGGTTCTATATACGATCGACTATTCCAATCACGTGGCGCAGGCCCCATGTCGTTGAAAGTCACCGATGAAAGCTGACATTATTCTCTTCGCGTAGGGTCCCGGCTTCGATCCGATCAATCTTTCCGACTCCGATCCTAACACTAAGGATGCACTACTCAGTTCCTTTGTTCCATTATCCATTCTCTGCGAAGCAAGAGCGAGTAGCCGTAGATTGCATTTCCTGCTATGAATAAAAACATTCGCCGCTCGACGATGAAGGAGAATCGACAGCTACCTTTCAAAGACTTGGATCGATTCGCGCACTATTCTACAAAGGAGAATACGCTCTGGGTCATCACGAGAAATATTCCCCCATGGTCTCCGTGGGCACACTGTCTCGTAGATTCGTCTCCAGCTACGCCGGGAAATGCTGTTCACGATTACGAAATCACAAATTCCTCTCAAAATTGAAATGTACCGACAGAAAACATCGATCGTCGACTCGATGTTCCGTCTGATGTGTATCCCGCACGGAGTTCAAACCGGCTTCCCCTTGAAGCCTCGTCGGAAGAAGATAGTCCAAGTTTCCTGGATTTGCTGCTCCGTCGTCCTGATGATTGCTCTTTTCGATTACTTCAGGAAGAAGTTTCAAGCTCCAAGCCCTCTGAGCCTCTCCGAGCTAACGACATTGCCTGCGAAGTTCTGTTCTTCGCAACCGTGCTCTACTCGGTGTACAAGGCGATGAAATACCACGACCGCGTTGAGCCGCTCCTCCAGAGAAAAGGTCGAAAATTCATCGACGTGGTCTTGCCGTGGATCTGCGCTTTCCCGGGTATGGTCGGCACCTTCCGGAGCATAATGCGTTGGAACATCGCGGAGTCGACGGCACCGAAGGACGTGATGTATCTGATTTTCAACGTCGCTATGGTTTCCTTCTTCATAATCTACTGTGATATCGTCAATAATCTTATCCGGAATCAGGAAGACATCTACGATTTAGTGACCAACCCTGAACTCGATTCGCGGAAGATCGTCATTCGGAAGTGGGATCTCAGAGAGAAGATCAGCGAAGTCAACGCAATCTTTGCTCTGATCCTCTCAGCGTACTACCTCCAGAACTTCGCCGTTCTCATCCTCAGCTTCGCTCAGGTAATTGGCGAGGATCCGAAGTTGATAGAGATTGTTGTATCTTTCTCGAACGTACTCTTCAGCCTGCTTCAACTTTTCCGACTGGCGCAGAGGAGCTCGGCTCTGAAGTCACTTTGCGTGAATACCGAGTGCTATCTGCTCCGACAAATAAGAGGCAGCGACAAAAAAATCAAAAACTGTAACGTCGATCTCATCGCTCTTCTGCGTTGCCGCGAAGAGTGGGACGTGTTGCAAGTCGGCTATTTCAACCACGACGTATCGAACTTCTTCACGTATCTGGCCACCTGCGTCACTTGCGTCGCAGTCATCCTGCAATTCGACTACAGAGTCGTGAGAAAAATATCTCAATTGAGTAATTCGAAACGAAGCTCACAATTCCCCGGAGAGTCGCTCGATGCGTGAAATTATCTCGTGAATGTTTATCCGTAAATCCAGACCCGTCCCTTCACATGGAGCCCGTTCATTCTTTTCGAGCCGAGAGGGTAGCTTGCGTAGATCGAGAGCGGGAGGGTAGAAGATCGCAGCGTTCGTCGAGTATCTGTCAGCTCCCTGTATCCAAAATGGGGGATCGCAGCAAGAATGCCTTCACCCGGACCCCTCCACAGATTGGAGGAAGTCTGGAACGATTCCGATCCTAGGGGGTATCCGCTCGTACAATATTTCACGTAGTTCCCTGATCGAGGAGCGATCGATATCTCGCGATGGCTCGTGTACACGGCAAAGACTCCGGATGATCGCTGGCCGCGAGACCGACCTGCATTCATCAGATTTATCGATCGTTGTCGACCAGCTTTCCTGGGGCGAGCATTCTCGTAAGGTTACAGATCGGAAATCAGTGCCACAGCTCTCTGCATATGGGAGGGTAGAGTAGCGTCCTTCGTTCTCTGAGGTAATCAGAGATCAGAGGTATCGATTCGTCGGAAGATCATTGATGGAAGTCACCCTGAATCCGGGAAGCGATCCCAATTCATTACACGGATCGAGACCGAATTGTTTGATTCCATACACGATTCACCAAAGATCGGGCTCTGCCCTGATTCGGTCCCGACAGCGAGAATCCCGTTCCTTCGCGGGGATTCGAATCGCAAATCCACGAAATGAATCTCCGTACGAATCGAGTACCCCCGTCTCGTAGGAGCTTCTCGGAGCTCGCGGCTCGTTTCCATCGGATCGTTCCCCCGAGGTCGCACCGGAGTCAACCCGTTATCATGACCTCTCGAACTAATCAACCTGTTGTGAATGAGCGGTAACGTCTTTGTTTGTTCCTTAGCCTTTTTTGTTTGTCCGAAAGACCGTCGCTTCCTCTGAGAATGATCCGAAAGACCGTCGCTTTTTTCGAGAATGATCCGGAAGACCGTCGCTTTCTTCGAGCATGATTCGGATCTTGATACCTGCGAAGATACTGCGGATGTCAGCAAAGATCTTGAATTTAGAGACTCTATGCGATCACTCTCCAGAGTGGCGCATCGATGATGGCTGACCCCACTGACCCGGATCGAATATCGAAATGGCGACGTGGGAATCATTGTCTTCCCACAGAGGAAAAACTCTTCCAGACAAGGGAACGGGTGCTCAATCGGGAAAGAGCTTCCAGCCCTAATTCAAAGCGGCAGGGATGCCAGCGTGATTGAGCGTATTCCCTCATCAGTTACAGATTACTCGGCAGCTTCACCAGCGTCCCGCCAGGTGGCAGCGTCCGACTTTGGCTTAACTAGTTCCCCAGTAACCAGTGGGCGCTGGTTACACTCAACCCCCGTACACAGTCTTTGCCGTTCGTACTGCTTCAAAGCCACGTGCTTCGCTCGGCTCGCTTCCACGAGAAAATCGACGGTTCACACTAGAACCTAAATTCTCATTCGCCCACGCCGCAGAAGTCGTCGCTCACCGCTTATCAAGATGTTCGCCGAAAACGAGATCATCGAGAAACTCGAAGCCGGTTTTAATAAACTGCAGACGTCCGAACAATGTAAGTCTTTACTGAAGAAGTATCTGACCCGGGAGGTTTTGGACAAGCTCAAAGCCCATAAGACCGCTATGGGGGCGACTTTGCTAGATGCGGTGAGCTCAGGTTTCGAGAACCTCGACTCCGGGATCGGGGTGTACGCACCCGATGCCGAGGGTTACACGCTGTTCCGCGAAATATTCGATCCGATCATCGAGGATTATCACGGCGGCTTCAAGCCGACGGACAAACACCCCGAGACCGACTTCGGAGACTTGTCCAGCTTCGTGGATCTGGACCCTGAGAACAAGTACGTGATTTCAACTCGAGTTCGCTGCGGGCGTTCGATCGCCGAGTTCCCGTTCAACCCCTGCATGACCGAAGAGCAGTACGTCAGCATGGAGAACCAAGTATCGAGTATTCTGTCTAAACTCGACGGAGAACTCAAGGGAAAATATTTTCCCCTGACCGGAATGGATAAGGAGACGCAGGACATGCTCGTCGACGATCATTTCCTGTTCAAAGAAGGAGACCGTTTCCTGCAGGCCGCGAATGCCTGCCGCTTCTGGCCTAAGGGTCGAGGGATATACCTGAACGACGAGAAAACGTTCCTGGTTTGGTGCGGCGAGGAGGATCATCTTCGAATCATCTCCATGCAGAAGGGCGGTGATCTGAAAGCGATCTACAGTCGACTTGTGAACGGAGTGAGAGAAATCGAAAAAGAGATCAAGTTCGCAAGGGACGACCGCCTGGGATGGCTCACCTTCTGTCCGACGAATCTCGGTACGACAATCCGAGCGTCGGTACACATCAAACTACCGAAGTTGGGAGGAGACCGCAAGAAACTCGAGGAGATCGCCTCGAGACACAACCTGCAGGTTCGGGGCACTCGCGGAGAGCACACCGAGAGCGAGGGCGGAGTATACGACATTTCCAACAAGCGGAGACTAGGACTAACGGAGCGTGAGGCAGTCATGGAAATGCAGCAGGGCATCCTGGAGCTCATCAAGCACGAGGAGTCGATGTGAAGCCTCGAAGAGCTTGAGACGACTCAGCCCATTGGGCATAGCCGTCAATTTCGGATAGAGGAGTCCTCGAATTCAATAAATCAA